TGAAAGAAAACATTACAAAATAATGCTGTTAGGGTGATTTTCAAAATTCGTAAAAAAAAATTTTCTACTTTTTATGAAACTCTGTTGATGAGATGCCCGACCCGGAGTCTGTAGGCCGTCAAGTGGTTTCTTAAGAGAGTTGGTACCTTAATTAATGCCGTGGACAGTGGCGTGTAAAGTGCTGTAGTGTACCATTTGTATTTGCTGCTGATCTGAGGTATCGCTGGCGCACCGAAGACGCCATGGTAATAAGTCTGGACAACGACCTTTCCTTTCCTTCCCGGCCTTTCCTTTTAGGTTTCAAGGCTTGTAAGGGCCTGTTTACAGGGAGAGAGGATTACCCTAGAAGGCGGGTTACCCTAGCAAGCGGGTTACGCTAGCGCTCACACATTTCATCTTTTTTTCCTCATTGTGTTTACAAAGCAGCTAGGGTTACCCTGGCAGGCGGGTTAACTTTTTCCCTTGTAAACACTCCAGGTACGGTTAACCCGCCTACCCGGGTTAACTTTCTAATTGTTTCCAGACCCTTTAAGTGTAACCGCGCATTAAGTTGTCCCGGGTTGTGGGGTTACCCTACCTGTGAAATTTTGCTTGTAAACCCGGCCCGGCTATCTTTTACCCTCCAGCTAGGGTTAACCCGCTTGCTAGGGTAACCCTCCCTTCTTGTAAACAGGCCCTAAGCTACTTTCTCTGACATTTGCCTTGCAACAAAGGACTTGGGGTTTTGTGTTAGCTACAAGTCGGTAGCTGAGGTAGATAAGGATATTATTTCCTTTCCCAATTTTCCATCAACAAAACAAGGACAAAGACCAAGACTTTGTTTTTGTGTTCGCCCTGAAAAGAGCCGTTTGAAATTTCTTGAATTTTTCTTTGGAGGTGTTTCTCTAGTATTTTGTTTACCATCTTATTGACGTGGCTTCTGAATTCATGGAAAGCTTGCAGTGTACGCTGCGTACGCATTGTATCTCGAAGGACTTCTAGCAATGCCTCATGTTGTTCTTTGAATGTCTTGCATATGTCTAGATACTCGTCTCGAATATAGAGTGCTAAATTCCTGACGTCACATTTCCATGACGCCGAAATTCTCAGTGCATGGTAAACAAACGGTCCATCTTGAAACACAACTGTCTCTGTTGCTGATGAGCCGATCGCTGAACGAACGCCATGAAAGGAAGAACTTTTCTTATAATAAGTTTTAGATTTTACTCGATTGAGACTGTTCATGGAGGTCATTGAGTATGCAGGTATGCAGGCATTGAGTATGCAGGTTCGAAATTTCGCCGACACGAATTATCTATTAGACAACCCGTCACTGCAATATTTATGGTAACCCCAAAACACTGACCCCCCGTCCGCGGACTTCTACTACGGACCGGGTCTGTGGACTAACTATGAACCGGTCCACGGACTACCCCTACGAAGCCCCTCTACGGACCAACCCTCAAAACAGCATAGAAATAATAAATAAATATTTAGTTACGGGTTGTCTAATAGATAACTCGTGTCGGCGAAATTTCGTTACATTGTGCAAATATAACAGACTTGGGTTCAGACCGGGAAGTCTCCAGGACGCCTCTGGGAAGTTTCCGGGAAGCCTCGAAATTTTTGTAAGTAAAGTCACTGTAAGTAAATTCAATTGAGTTTTTTCAAGTTGTAAGAGTTTGTTTGCCTGTTTGTAGCTCAGCGCTGTGATGGCGCGCAATCCCGTGTGTGTGTCTCTCTCTGTACAATTTTAAGTAAAAAGTGAGTCAATTTCAGTTGAGTTCAGTCTCTGATCGTTGCTGTATTTGAGAGAATTTCTGTGGAATACACTTAACGAATTTCCCCGCTATCTGCTACTCAATTTACGGTAGAAAACTCTGATTTCGAGTGATTCGCAAGAAATTCCACACCGGAAAAACACTTTCGGAGAACCCAGCTGGTGAACTAAATGGAACTAACATATAATAGTTCGAAATAAATTTATTCTTTAATACATCTTTCTTTGTCTAGTATCTGAGTTACTCGCTCGTTCGCTCGTTAGATTTTTTACGAATGGTTTGTAAACGGCGCGTAAGGCAATTCAATAACGAAGTTGCATAAACAAACCCACTTTTAAGCCAATTTACCGCAAAAACAAAGATAAACATGTTATTGTCCGGCTTAGGGTCGGTCCGTATAGGGAAAAACTGTGACCTTGCGCTTGAAAAGCCCAAGGTCACAATTTTTGGGCTTGAAAAGCACTTTCAAGACCTCGGTCACAGTTTTTCCCTATACGGACCCCTTAGCCGGCCAATAACATATATAACTCAATTTCATTTTTGTTCAAACAACCAATCCCCTCGCTCGTCCCATGACGCTGACCGTAAAAGCGAAGGCTCTGGGCTTCATGGCAAGTAATATTTCGAGCAAGCACTCTTGATTTGAAAAAACGTTTTGCACTTCCCTTCTTATTTTAAGCTGACGGGCACTAAATATCATTGATATCTCGGTAAGTTAACACCACCAAGTTTTCGTTTAAGTTTTCGTTCCAACTTGCAATATAGCCATCCCAACATTTTTGTTAAGTGAGCGTTGACTACATCTAAACATACAGAAAACTATGTAAATATGCTCATAAGTTCTACTGAACGTCAGTCGTGGGAAATGGGAGAATTGAAATGAAACAGAACTGTTCTACTGTACATATCACTTACAAATGATCTAATGTCGTACCAAGATCTCATTCTGACACGATGAAGATCTGGATTCCAGACCACAGCTAGCCTGCAATGCAGGCGTATCTTGGCGAGGGTTATTCATATTTAAAAATCAATACAGCTTCAATACAGGGAAGTATTAAAAACTAAATTAAATGGCAATTAACACTGGCAAAGGTATGTCATCTTTTTCACCTGCTCGGTTGACATAAGTTACCAGTAAAATGGAAAAAATAATAAAATTGGCTTGCGGCGAATCTACTCGATCGCGAACTAATACCGCTATAGTCCGTGAACACACGGAAAACGCCTGCACTTCAGTCTAGACCACAACTGATCTCGAAACGGTCAATTGTCCATCAGTGTTGATGAATAACAACCAAGAAAACGCTTAGGCCAATGGAGGAAACCTTCCTTCGCAAAAACGGCAAAACATTAAAAACAACGGTGGATCTCGTTCCCTCCTTCAAAACCAGCTCTTGTTTTTGTTTGTTTGTTTGTTTGTTTTTTTCACTTTTCCCAGGCATCGTCTCGTTTTCCACAAAATCTGAAAGTCAAGAGCTAGCTACTAATTTCGAAGTCCAGTTAGTTCGAAAGGAGGAGTCATTTCAATTACAACACTACTAAACATCTGCAAAACTATTTCTTGACAACGTCAAGTTTGTCTAGTACTCCCTTGGAGAGTTTCAGTACACAGCCGGTGAATGCATCTTTATTTTTTTCGGAGATCATTTTCACTGGTATGGTTGCCTTCTCGGTCCACTTGTCCTCTGAAGTGTCATAACATTCAACAATCAAGCCA